GTACTCTGTAGACATGCCTTGATTCTTGGGACCAAGAAGTAGGGTGAGCAAGCCAAGAGGCCTGTGCAGTGTGTGCAGAACTCCACTGGGGGGCAGCAACGTCTAAAAAGTGGGGCGGGTTGCTCCGTTTGGCTTCTAAAGACTTTGGAAAAACCCTAGTTTCGCCATTTGTCCCCACATGCCAGAAACAGTCCTGGGGGATCTTTCCATGGGCTGCTGCACCTTAACTGCCTGGGGTGCCATTCTGCGAGGACTATTTCTTCCCTGATCACTCAACAGAGCTGTGCCTATAAGCTGGGGAGATGGAGGGTGCTGGGGAAGTGGGACAGGCCAGCCCCTTACTGCGGAGGCCTGGCCGTTCTGGGAGAAGGTGTGCCAGTCTCTACCTAACCACACTCACCGGCTTGGTGGAAAGAAGCCGGCCCCGATCTTCCAAGGTACTTAGGTGCTTTACTCCAAAGGGAGTTAGATGCCTAAAATACTATCCAGGATCTGGACCCAGGACTTCATGCGCACAAGACTTTGTCCCCGATTTTTCTGGAGCAGCTGGGTTTTGAAACTCTGGCTATTCTGTTTCTGTGTCTAAAAGCCAAACCCCTCTGAAAATTCAGCCCAGGGATCTGAGGTTTTCCATACAGGTGTTATATAATCAGAGGTGGGAGCGCACACCTGCTCTAGCTACTCTCCTTCAGTCTCTCCATGCATAGCAGTGGACGCTGCACTGATGCATCTGTGCCTCAATTTCCCTTCCCTGTTGTGTGTATTTAGCTTGCAAGCTCTTCGGGTCAGGCACTCTCTCTCGCTATGTGTGTATGCAGTGCCCAGCGCGATGGTGCCCTGAGCTTAGGCCTACTGGGTGTTACCATTTTAATAATAATAGTCAAACTAGCCATGGATTTCACAATCTAAACCCATCTGTATGTCCCTGGCTAGCCCCATACTCAAAGTTTGCTGGAACCACCTGGTCCTCTGCAGACACTCCCCTTCCCAGCATCCGCTCTTCTATAAGGGAGGGGAAGCATCTAAGAGGTTTCTCCTCCTGATTGATTGGCAGGTCTCATTCCCAGACCTTTTTGCACAGAACCCTCGTTACAGATCAAACCCGCCTCATTTGGCCTCTGGGCCACGCAGTGAATTAAGACAAAGCCACCAGGCTGCAATTAGAGATAAGGAACTGTTGATAATTATCCAGAGAGAAGAGGAGAAGGATTCAAACTTGGGCACGGAATGGGAGAGAGTAGGCGGGAGTGGACAGTTTGCCCGAGACATGGAAATTTGCATGAAAATGCACCGAGCTGAATGAGGTTCCATTAATATCAGAATCTCAATGACTCGAATGTCATCTCCCATTATCAGAGGGGGTTTTATTTGAATTCTCTCTTTAATTTTTTTAATTTCAGTTTGATTGATTTTCTCTCACATTCAGGCCGATCGGCGCATACACAGACTGACAGTGCCGATGTGGCCTCTCTTATAACCCCGTGCGGGGAGAGGAAGGAGGATGTGATTGAATAAGAACGAAACTCCCGGGACTGATTCTCTGCTATCCTGCCCCCTTCGCACTATTGTTCGCACTAGTGCAAAGTGGCATGCATTGGGCTAATGGTGGTGTTTCACAATCACTCTGCACTGGTGTGAGCAACGGCACTAGGGGCAGAGTGACAGAAAATGGACCCCAATGTGCATTTTGCTCATGATAGTTATTTTGGCTGATCTAGGAGATAGAGCATTAGACTGGGACTCAGGAGACATGGGTGCTAATCCTGGATGTACTTCTGGCTTGCTGGGTATCCTTGGGCAAGTTATTTCCTCTCTCGCTCTGTGCCTCGGTTTCCCCATCAGTAACATGGGGATAATGAAGCTGAACTCCTTTGTCACGAGTTTTAAATTCTACTGATCAAAAGTGCTATGTAAGAGCTAGGGACTGTCGTTAAGTAAGATCAGCAGTGTTGGAAACTCTCTCAATTTTTACCATGAGCCTTCTCATTGTTGTTTGTTTTTTCTTAAAGCCCCGGTGGCTCAGATCAAAAGACTGCATGAAAACCTCAACTTATTTTTTTTTTAAAGTTTGTAACCTTGAGGACTGCCAAGAAAAGCTTGAAAATGTGACCTGAGTGTGACCCCAAAGGCTCAGAAATTAGAAGGCAAATAAAAATAACCAAATATTATTTATTTAAAAAAAGACCTCGGGATTTTTAAGTCAGTCTCGTGATTTCTGGATGCTTGGGGTTGGTTATGCTGGACCAGAACTAGGCCCACGATGCATTGCTCCCCTGCAGAATACCTCACTGTCATTGTAACAGTCCTCTCTGCTCACAGGACCACATTAAAATGCACCTAAATGCTTCATCGACAGGCACGTGAGAAATCAGATCCAAAGAAAAGAGTCTCAAGACCCTTTTAAACCTTCTCACCAAGAGAGGGTGAGGCTCATGTTGTGGGCAGTTATGTTTCTTCTACTACATTGTCCTAAATAAACTGGAATCAACACAGACCAGCCCCTAAAATTAGGGGTTACCTGGAAATTCACAGTCCCACCTGTCCCGAAACAGAGGCCTTGTTTGGTGCTGGTTCAGAAGCCTTGGAGGAGGCAAGCAGGAGTTCTTCATCTAGCAGCTTATCCTTGGATCAGAATCCAAGCCCATGCAGGGTTCTCTCTCTCTCTCTTTCTATCCCCATTGAGAAAGACTAAAGAGGGATGGAAAATTCAGGTTTCTGGAGAATCTTGGTTGCTCCCGCTTTGACGAGAAAGAAAGATTTGAAACCAATAAATAAATGAAAGGTCCCCACCCAGCATGATCAGACATTAAGTCACCCACCCAACATCATCAGACAAACTTGCCAGATTTCCTGGGGCCAGATTTTCCAGGGTTCAACTCCCATTTGAGCACCTAAATAAGATCCAGATTCTCAAATCCGGCTCTTCAGATGTTTAAGTAGGAGCTCAACTACTTTTAGCACCTGTCCCCCTTGCCAGTTTTCTGAACCCCAGGCAGCAACCCAAGCCTGGACAGCTACACGGTTATTTTTAGCCCCATGAGTGAGCCCTGCAAGCCTTAGTCGGTTGACCTGGGCTCTGAGACTTGCTGCTGTTGGTCTTTTTTTGCTGTGTAGATGTAGCGATACTCCACTGATGGGGGCTCGAGAAAACCCATGCACAGCCCGACCTTTATATTTTACAAATAAAATGAAGGGACCTAATATATTAGTTCTGATTCAGATCTCTGTTTGCACCAGTGTAAGGCCAGAGCCAATCCACTGGAGATTAATTGAGCTGCTGCCGAGTTACACAGGCAGACGTAACAGCAAACAGAATCCGGCCCATTGTGTAGAGCTTTTATTGGGAAGCCGTTTGTAGGAAAGTTGCTGTACGCAAAAATAAGAGCCCTGGTTAGGGTGACCAGACAGCAAGTGTTAAAAAATCAGGACGGGGGTCGGGGGCAATAGGTGCCTATATAAGAAAAAGTCCCCAAAATCGGGACTGTCCCTATAAAATCGGGACATCTGGTCACCCTAGCACTGGTTATCAAAGTGGACCCGGCGCCTTGCAAACCTGAAATCAGCACTCTCTGTGGCATACGCAAGGAGTTTTGAAAGAAATCTTCGACTGCTTTCAGCAAAATGATCCATTTTCGCACAGGGAAGTCCAGGGTTGGGGGGAGAATGGCGATTTTTTCCCTACAGGCATTGAGCTGCCTCTGCGATCTGCCAAAGGGTGTGTGGGTGGGGGAGGATTCCTCCAAACCCTTGAGCTCTCCTGGGGTCCCGTTAGCTCTTGTAGGGGGGGGAAACTTCCCCTTGTTCAAAATGTTAACAGAACAGGAGGTGGGGAAGTGAACCCCAACCCTTGAGTCTAGTGGCTTCGCCCCAGGCAAGGTTGACTGCAGAAATGCTTGGGCTATTTAAAAAAAATTCATGGGAGGGAGGGGAGATACCACACACAGACACACACAGAGACACACATACACCCCCCCCACACACACAGATACACACACACACCCTTCCACCCCCCCCACACAGACACCACACCCCACAGACACACCCTCACACCCACACCCCCGCCACACAGACACCCCCCCCACACACAGACACACACACCCCACACTCCTCCCCCCACACAGACACACCCACACACAGACACACTCACGCCCAGACACACCCCACACCCCCCCCCACACAGACACACATACACACACAGACACAAACACACACCCCACACACATACACACACACACCCCCCACACACAGACACAGACACACACACACACACACGACTAGGGAACGCTGTACACCCTGAGAAATTCTGAAATCAGCCTCTGTACATTTGTTTGAATTGTGGTTAAGTGACACTGGAATCTTCCATGTTTTCCTGGCCGAGTTGACAGAGATGGGCGAATATTTGGCCTTGGAGCTTACAGGAAATTAGTGTTCTCAGTGTCACCTGGTTAACAAAACAATGTGAGACTTTGGGAAACAGATTCCTGTTACATTTTTGAGAGAGAGAGAGAGTGCGTGTGTGTGTACAGATCTAAAAATGTAGGCCACAATCTTGCAAATCCACAAGCTGGTGGTTAAGTCCCATTAATTTTAGTGCGGTTACCCACATGTTGAAAGCTAAGCAGGTGCATAAGCATTTGCAGGATGAGGGCCACAGAGAGACATATCGGTCTGTAATATTCTTTACTGCATGCTTTTAAAATGGTAATGCCATCCACCAGATCATTTTGGGAGGTGGAGGTTTGATCCAAGCAGCTGTGAGAATGAACAATCTTTTTGAGTTCGCCGTAGGCAATAAGCTGTATTAAAGTATTGCACTAACAGAAGCAGAAATTTGACAAGCTAAGGGAGAAGCTGGAGCACTGTACAGGATTTGAGAATAAAGATCTGTCCTGTGAATCCATTTCACTGTAACTGGAATTGCAACGTGTACTAAAATCACCAAAGACATTTCAATCCTCTTCCCTCCCGGTGGCATTTCACTGGCTCTGAGTTCACAGGGAGCAGATAGGAGTAAATATGAATCAGGTCTATGCCACCAGGAATGCAGCAAAGGAGTGAATTCAATCAGATTAGAGGGTTGTTAGTTTTTTTTTTTTTCCACAATGCCATTCAAGGCCTGGAAAGGCAGTCCCTGTCCCCTTGAACCAGTCCATCTCTGAAGCACTGCTATGCAAATTGGTCATTCCTTTTGCAAGCTACATTAAGACTTCGGTAAGCAGCAACTGCAGGGGTAAGACACTTGCTTTGGGGTTGTCGGGCTATTTTAAGAGAGAGAAAAAATTGCTTAGTTTCTTTCTTTGACTACACAAGAATCAGGACAGAGCAGAATGATCTTGATTTTATCTTTTTGGGGTTTTTGTTTAATCAAAAAAGGGTTTGCGGGGAAAGTGTTTCTTTTCTGCCTCTGAATATTTCCAACTCGAATTTAGTCAATGTCTAGCTAATATTTAACTTGGGGCTACAAATGCATTTGTTCCAAACCCACATTGCATAGTGTTTAGAGCTATAGGGAAACCAAAGCTTTGTACACCCTCAAGACTCTGCTACTGTAGTTCCCAAATGAAGCTGGCTTCTGGGGATATGGATATGGCATACAGATGTATAACACTGTTTCTTATACTTTCCAAAATAAATCAAACGACAGCATCCTGAGAGATAGGGAGCAGCGATGCCGGCTAGCTAAGCAGCAAATTGAATTCACACACACTGAATTATAAATATGGCGGGGTGGGGAACGGTGCAAATTACATGATCGGCTTTTGAAAGACACATTTATCAGTTAACAAATCACTCTCTCACAATAGACCTCTTGCAACAATGGGAAGAGTCTGTATCATTCCTGTATTACCATGGTTTCTTTTTGTTGCTGCCACTTTCTGGCTGCCTAGCAAACTTTTTAATTGGTGTACTTGGAAGAAATTCTCATCTGCTGTTTTCTGGCTTGTTTTTGTTTCAGTAAAAGCATATGCGACAAACAGATTTTAAAAAAAAGCAGGCAATATTCTTTTTTGCACACAAAAAAACCTCATTCTTCAGTTCTCATGCTATCAGTTGCTTCTTTGGTCCAACCATGTGTTAGGACTGCAAAGAGTTAATATGCAAATGATCAGATAGATACACGTCCATCAAATATACATCCCTTCGTGGTGATGGATTTTTTTAAATTTAATGGGCCTGTCAATCACATCACGTTCCTGGGACCTTTAGGCTGCAAACTCTTGCAGAACTCTTTCTTTGTATGCCAAATTCTGTCTCTCAGGTTTTGCTGGAGTCTTTAAAGCCAGCTCTGAACATAAGAGCTATCCATAGGCAGGTTAAAAAGAAATATACTCCGCAAATGAAATTTACAAGCAAAGAGTATCATGTCTGGGGACAAATCAGGCTCACTGTTTGTTTTCATGTGTTTATAATTTCATTTTTATGGATACATTTGTGAAACTCTTGTACCCAGAGGAGAAAATTTTATTTTAGATGGGTCTAATCTGGAACTCTGGAGGGGGCTTCTCTTTGTTGACATCCCCTGTTTTAAACATGATGGCAAATAAGAAAAACAAACTAAAAAGAGCGAGTGAGAGAGAACACCCAACTGTGAGTGGGATGAAATCTGACCCAAGGATTCTAAAAAGCAGAAGGGCACCGATATAAATGGGAGATGTTCGGCTAAGAGGGAAATTTTGTAGGCCCTTTCATGAAAAAGATGTACATGTCAATAAGCAACAGGCAACACTGTGAAGGAAAGGATGCTGGAATGCTGCTTAGCATATTCCAGGAGGCCATGGATTTCGCCGCTTTTTAAAAGACTGGTGGCAGGGAGAGAGGTGGAAATACCACCTATCTTGAGTTAAACAAACACGGATGTCACTATTACAGCATCATGAAAAGGGACCTTGAAGTGACCTGTGCAAAGGTTTATTTGAGTGCAGTACGGCACTTTATGCCCTTGCAGTGAAAGTGCAATCAGGCAGTGTAAGCCCATGCAATGGGATATTTAAGTGCAATAGTATGAAGGATATAGGACATGTACAATGGATATGAAGTTTGCAAAATCCAGCATGCCCTTTCACCTGGGGAATGATTGTTTTTAATGGGTGAGTAAACAAGACATGTCCCGATGGTAAAAGGGCCGGTGAGCAGCTCTGCGCCTGGAATGATCATTTTTCATGGCAGTGTTGCAAAGCTGCTCTGTTCATTCAGTGCATGATATGCCCCGGTCCTGCAAAAGCTTATCCGTGTGATTAATTTTACACATAGGAGTGTTCTGTTGACTAAAACAGGGCCACTCCCATGTGTCGGTCTTTCAGGATCGTGGCCTCACATATATGGTGATGGCACTGCAGAAAACCCACAGACATCACCATGTGCGTGTGATGATCCTGAAAACACTAACATCCAGCTAAGGATCCACGCTGAGCTGTACTCATGTGAGAAAGCTACTCCCCGTTTGTAGTGTTGAGCCCTAAACTTATCTTTACACCTTCATTCGCTGGGATACTCTGGGATTTTCATTTTTTCCTGCACTGTTCAATTGTACACCTTACCCCGTCGCTGTTTTCAAGGGTCTGCTTTAGACACAATTGCATTTTGGTTTTCCAAAAGAAGCGTATTTTTCAGGCTAGAAGAGACAACGCAGCGCATCTGTATCACAGGGCAGATGCATTACAAAGTGATCAAACAGAGCTACAACATCCTAGGATGGAAATGTCCTACTTCCTTCAGAAACACTTACATAAAAATGTGAATATTTCCTTTTACAGTAATGTATCTTTAATGCAACTAAATATACTTGGGAAATATCACTCATGCAACTGATCCCAAAATTGCATCAAATGTACTTCTTTTGTTACAATTTTCTTCCAGAATGGAATGTCAGCTTTCTGTAATATGCGGCATACCCTAATCACTCTTTTGTACAGAACTCTGCAAAGGTACTTAGCATGAAAGATGCTAAGCAAAATAAATGATATTGAACCATGTAGCATCTTTATCAGGGGTGAATGCTTTTCTTTTCAGCTGCTAAAAGGCTTTAATATACAAAAGCTGCTCAAAGAAAAGTGATCTCTTAAAATAAGCAAAAACAAATAAGGTGGGTTAATTTCGGATTCTTTTTTTTTTTTCTGGGAGAGATTCTAATGCAATCAGTTTGTCAAGATGATGCTTGATAATGTAATTCTGCATATATTGTCCTGTGACTGAGGGAAACAAATCCCATTAGAAAAATGGAATGGATACAAAACAATTTAAGGCAGAATGGAAAATATTGCCCACGGTGTAGTAATAAAAAACAACACCTTTGTTTGCAAAGGGATGAACTGATTCTTGCTTAAAACTAGAGTGGGTCAGATCTAAATGTCCTTGATGCTTGAAAAGTTTGAATGTGAGACAGAACTTTGCAGCGGGGGCTCCTGGCTACTTAAAATAATTGTGAAATCCATTCAAAACGGAAATAATGGTTTGATTCCTGAATTCCCATGGTAAGAGGGTAGGGGCCTGTTAATTCTCCAAAGTGTCTTTCTAGTCCCCCAAGAATTTGTTAGAAAATGAATCATTTTGTTTCTCAAATCCATATATACTCTGGCTCCTTGCACCCTTTGATGAGGTGTGCCTTTAGCTATCATTTAATGGTTTTTAACTTATTCTCCTTACTGTATGCACCGGTACTGGACATGTACATCTCAGTGGTACCTGACTGCGCCTCATTTCAGTCCTAAAAGTATTTAGACTCCATGCCCGTTAATTACCTCCTCACTTTTATCACTGAAATCACCAGCCATGAAACTGAGGTAACAGAATCAAACCCCACACCTAACCCTCTTTGACACAAAACCTTTGGGCACAGAAAATTGTCCTGGTTACAGAGATGTGGTGCTGTGAGAAACGGACTCGAAAGGTGTTTTCTGCAAGGGTCACCTTTAGACGCTTTCGGATGTCTCCGAGAACTTTACTGCTGGTGTTGCCCGGCAGCAACTGCCAGCTAGCGAGTGCAATTTGTAAGGCATGGTCATTTAATCTAGTGACTGAAGGCAAAATTGGTGCATTTTTAAGGGTAGCCGCTAGATAGTAAATGTGATCCCTTTAACATGTCAGTCTCTTGATCAAATATGAACCCATCTACTTCCCTTCAATCTGCTTTTTGGCCATTTAGGGCCTGATTCACTTTGAACCCCCTTTACAGCACTCGGGCAGCATAACAGGGACTTAAACGAAACCTGTTTCAAGGCCCTTTTGCACTGCCCCAGCACTCAAAGGAGCATCAGCAGAACTAAGAATCTGGCCCTGCGTTTGTGTTTTCTCTGGGCTGGTTAAACCCGGTTCATTTAAAGGTGCCTGATCACCAATTCCAGATCACATTGCCCGGCCTCCTGTGTGGTCATTTACGCCAGGTGTAAGCCGATTTGATAGCGTTTTACACTGCCTCTGCTTTGCACTGGCGTAAATGACTGCACACAAAGTATGGGGCAAATGGAGAACAAGACCCATAAAGTACAATTTAAATACAAATCCTTCAGCTTTGTTAAAAGACATGCTAAATACCCCAGGCGCATAAGGGCTTTCCATGGTGTGGAGAATAGAGCTGATTTATTATGTAGGGAATTATCCGGCCTCAATTGCTTTATTTTTTAAATCCTACTTAATAGTTATTTATGTGCAAGTGTCTTTTATGCGCTTTTCCAAGCGAGCTGCATGTACATCCAGCGCTGAAGAACTTGGTACTTTTGCCTTCGATAAATAGCTGAAGTTGCTACAACATGGGCAGAAAATACTTTGACAATTGCAAAGAGAGAGAGAGAGTTTTGGGGCTATCCAAGGTAATTGCAAATAAAGGGTGACCGCTGTATAAAAATACCCACTCTGCAGGAAAAATGCAAGCTGTAAAATGTGCTGTGGCAATTGTGATCACTGCACGAAATATATACTAGAGGGAAAATACAGCATTTAAAACCTTCTGTAACAATTAAACATGGTTCTTTGTGCTGTGTTTTAAAATCCACTTCTCAGTGTTCAGCCTTTGTTCCTTTTTAAAAAATAAATGCAGCAAACAGAGTATGTTTTAAAAAAATCAGTATGTCCATTTTTTATGATTGTTTTATTTTGGTTTGTTTCGTAACATTGTAGAAAAGATCCTTAGGATAAAAAGATTTCTCCTCTCTGGCATGAGAGGTGTGAAACGGCATGCAGATGAGAATCATTTAGCATTGTGCAAAGCATTTTAAAATACAAATTAATGTAGTC